TTTTATTTAGGGTCCTCCCCACAAACAATATCCTCTTCAAGCTTAGTCATTTTATCTCTAGATGAATCTTCAACAAATGGTACTGGACAGCATAGATATTTTATTAAATGGAAGATCCACACAACATTAGAAGACACTTGATTGACTGATGAAGATCTTAAGAGCTTAATTCCTGGTCTGGTGGGGAACTATATTGCCATAAAATCTTCCAAAAAATGTTAATTTATGTCTGAGATAACTGATGCAACATCACCAACATTTGCACCACATAGGAGAAGAAAAAAAATAATAGTATTTGTTTAAAATTTTAAAAAGCTTATTACCTAGCTTGTCAAATGTTCTATGGATATAATAATTTAAAATCTTGCATGCATTATTTACCACCTTTTTGCATGCATTTTCATACCAATTACATAAAAAATCAATGCAAGATGTCATCAATGTCTGTCAATAGCCCTTCTTGGACTATTTGACCTCAAATATTAGTTAAAAGTGCATGAGTTATATTTAAACTCTTTTTATGATAATTACCCGATCAATCAAAGGAAAAGAGAAAATTTCATCCAACTATAAAGGGTTGAGAGACAAAATGTGTTAATAAAGAAAGCGAGGAAGTACAAAAAAATGAAAATTTACTCATGAACATGACATAATGTGATAATGAGATAAAGAGATAAATGCTTTTAAATCCTATATAAAAACTCTTAAAGTGAAAAATTGAAAAATAAAATGGCAAAATGTTGAAACTCAAGTACTTCAGTATATTTTTTTAGGATACAAGTCTTCAATTAGATTAATATTCTTTGTTACTCATATGGCTTCATGATGTAAAATCTATAAATAGCAATAGAATTCTAGGCTATAAGATATCATATTTCATATATAGTTAATATTACTTTCTTTTCTTCCAAACTTAGCTTTGTGAAAAATTTAGCATATCTTCTACGGTGAGGTTGAAATTAATAATCATCATCTGATAAATATGAGGTAGATGTTTAAGCCAAGATGGCTTGCGAGTCGGCTCAAACTCAACTCGTTAACGAGCTCTTGAGATGAACTTATCAAACCATGAACATGAGATCAAGCTCAACTTAGAACTCATATAGGATAGACGTTTGACTTTGAGCTTGGCCTGAATAGGCTTGTTGGCTAACAAGTTAGCTCGATTAAATTCAAAATAAAAATTCTTGTAGCTTAATTTGGGGCTCATTGCATGACGCGCTCCTCTCCTCTTATTCATACCTCATAGTTCTTGTCACAACATTCTTCAATGAGCTTCCATCATGACTTCCTTCAATGCCAGAGATCCTGCTATTGCCTTCTCCAGAAAACTTCTATCGTGACTTCCCCCAACAGCTCAGATCCTATTTATTGGAACTTCTACCAACATAGTTCATTTCAACATTGTCATCTCTAACGAGAGATCCCAGCATAGCCTCCAATTAAATCTCTAACAAACTCCATCCATGCCAAGAACTCCAATATTGAAGGTTTCAAGCTTGAACTCGTGAGTCAATCTCAAACCAGCTCTTATTTCGACAAGCTAAGCTCGAGCTCGCCATATGATCTGAACTCGAGTTGGATTTCAAGTTCAAGCTTGTCATTGGATACGCAATAAACACGAGTAAACCTTTTTGACTAGTTTTAATGTGTTTTTTGTGATTTACCAAAACTATTAAAAATTGTCGCATCATTTCATCACCAACCCAAATTTATGCAGTCTTAGTCAAGGGTGTTAGGAAAGACATATAACTTTCATAAGGAAGCACTTATCAATAGTGATCCAAAAGCAATCACAAGCAGTCCAAACATTAAAAAAAAATAAAGCCAATATTTGCATGGTTTGCCATAAGCCAAGCCTACATCGACGAGGGCAAACAATTAGGTTGGAACTCCATAATCTAGTTTGTATAAATAAAACTAATATTACCAAGAGTGGGCTAGCTCAACTGAATTAATATTAAACAAGATATAGGATTAATATATATTAATTAGGACTTATCGAAGCAACCCATCAAATCCTACATAAGTTCAAACATGCATTTGAGCAATTTAACATTGCCATAGTCTATCCCAAGCCCGGATGTGAAAAATGAAAGGTTGTGTTAGGTAGTCAAAAGCCAGCGTAAAACATAGTCGAAATAAAATCAAAATCATGTTTATTTCTAGGTATTTCTGCACCGCCTCCATATTCAACTCCCAAGATTCAACTTCAGGGTTATTGGCCACGTCTAGAGTTTGATCGATGGCAAACACACCTACTAGCACCCCAAAACTATAGTATTCATAATCCTCCAATTGAGAATGCTAAAAAAGAGAATTTAAGGCATGAAGAATGGTAATGGGCCAGTTTAACACCCCTTAAAACATGTGGGTGCTCCTTTCAAGGAGAAAGGGTGGTGGCACTGAAGAAGCTTTTGATATTGGCTTGTCCAATTCTATAATACCTAAGATCGAAAGAAGTAGACCATGATAAATATATTAAATAGAAAAACTGATAATTTTGTAGGATAAAAATTTAAGCAACAGAAAATTTCCATAAAGCTAATAAGGGATGGTGTGAGTGAAGTTTAGAGTTAATTTGATTTAAGTACAACAATTTTATTAAATATTTTGTATATATTCATTCACCATTCATTAAATTTGTTCATTCATTCATTTATTTATAAAATTATGTTAAGTAACATAAGATATATACAATCGTGTATGTGTGCATGTATTATTATTTATATGTTATAAAATTTTGAATCCATGCATATGTATGTGTGAATATTTGTAAAAACACACATTTATTGTGTATATCATATATCATGTTGATTTCAAATCTACCTAATCTTGATTAAAGTATAATATATTTTATTCAATTGACAGTCCGTCAATGAAACTATTCCAGCTAATTGTATTTTTAACTTTAAGCACCAAGAGCAATACCAACAACATTAAAGTTCATGTGAAAAGATAAATCTAATAAAGTTTTGTGTTTTCTTAAGGGTTGATTAAACATCCCAACAAAGGTTGTTCAATGGACATGCTCTATTAAGTAAGCTCCTGAAGAGAGATATTTCTAATATCTAACCTATTGATTACTCTCTAAGCATACTTAATTTCTAGTGTACCAAACTTTCTAACATCGAAAAAATCTCAGCCACAAAATTTAATTTTCTTTTACATTATATACAAATCATTCATTTGAAATAATTTAATCATGTGAGCAATAAAAAACAAAAAATCTTAACAAGAAAAGAATGAAAGACAATCTCGAAGAATGTATAGATTCAATGCCCAGGCGCATCTTGTTTCAATATCCAACAGCCTAATTTATAATCCTAATAATTATCGAATCTTTCTCAAGACATTTACTAATATTCATAGGTGTTGTCTAGCGAAAAATGAGATTTAAGGTATTAGGATTTAGTATCCCGTAAATCCGGATTTACTCAATTTGTAATAGGTTAAATCCAAAAAACTGCCTAGCAGTGAATTTACTAAATTCAGTAAATATAATATAATTGTTTGGCAATTTTTGCCAATATTTAATAAGTTATTATGGCTGTTGGAGGCACCCAAAAGCCAGCAAAATTAAATCCCAAGCCTTGCAAAGTTAAATCCACCGGTTCGTGAGATTTAGTAAGTCTGGGATTTACAAATGAAATTTATAGAATATGGATTTATGGCATCCGGGAATTTATTTTGTCCAAAATGACGTCTGTCAAGATTCCACTTAAATCCTGCCTAAACCCTAGGTTAAATCCATTATCAGGTAGCCCCTCAATCGGTTTCCAAATTAAAAACATTTGCACTATTCCGCTAGCTTTCACAACTAAAACTTATCCACTCGGACCATAAACTGTCTCACAAAATAATGCTAAAACTCAGTTAAGAGGACCCTAAGCAATATATAAGAACAATAACTCGGCTTTTAAGAGCAATACCAAAATAAACTCATAATTTCTTCCGTCTAGAAAATCAAAATAAGCAAATGGAAAAGGTGCGCATCAGAACTTAATCTCAGTTGCCTCCATCTAATCGCAATTAAAGTTCGGGAGGTGGTATTGATCCAAAAACGCGTCCAAAGATATGGAAAGAGGGATATGCAAAACGTTGAATTCGCATATTCCAAAATAAGAGAAACTCGTCAACCAGTAAACGCAAATCAATATGCAAAACAAGTTAAAACAGAAACAGAAGGATACGGTGGAAAAGAAACCTGCTCCAATGACGATGGTAATTTTCCCAATGGCCATCGCTGAACACAAAACCCTAGTAAACCTCAGATAGTCTCAGTGGCATCCTAAGCACCGTTATCTACTTGCGGTTCGATAGGCGCTCAGAGCTGCAACTCGTAGGGTTTTTTGTCCTCCGAGCGCGGTAACAATCCTGCTTTCGGAATCGGGACGCGGCAGGAAACGAAAACCCCAACTATGGACATTTTATTGCGTGCGCGCACCTGAGTCATCCGGTCAGGATTATTTTAGTTTTAAAAATAATAATAATAAATTTGATCGGAATCGGGACGCGGCAGGAAACGAAAACCCCAATGGACTTTTTATTGCGTGCGCGCACCTGAGTCATCCGATTCTTACGGTCATGATTATTTTAGTTTTAAAAGTAATAATAATAAATTTGGTAGGGTCCACCGAAATACATCGGGACCGTAGATCAGGTGATTTCAATGGAATAATTTTTCAAACTCTTTGAGTGAGCCTCACCCTAAAAAATTAAAAAATTAAAAAATTGTATTTCAATGATCCTGATTGGATGCCCGACAACCATAAAAATGATTTCTTCAATTTAGAAGTTGCAAGAAAAAAAAGAAACTCGGCATTTGCATATATTCCACCTAATTCTTATATTATATTTCTAACAACAAAAAATTTATTTTTTACATTTTTACCAATAAAATATTTCATATCATATTAAAAATATTATTATTTTAAATTTTTAAAAGTTAATTACATTTTTTCGTGCTCAAGATAACATATATATATATATATATAAAAACGTGATAAGTAGTATTTCAAGCCAAAACTATATATATAAACTTGATGAGTAGTATTTCAAGCCAAAACGAGCCGAACACGAATGAACACATCTTAGTTCGTGTTCGACTCGTTAACTTATCGAACGAAATTAACAAGCCGAACACGAGCTTCTTAACGAGTTGAAC